GCAGCTCGGATGCGGCTCGCCTGTGTGCAGGGAGGGGCTGGCGGCTGGGCATCCCCCTCCCCAGCGGAGCAGCAGTCATCCGGGGATGCCAAGAGCCCTCTGCTTTGACGGGGGGATGCCATGCCCGGGCAAGGGCATCCCCTCGTCCTTCCCGGGGCCTCAGGACGGCTCGGCCCAGCACAGACCCTCTGGAGCCCCACCGGGCTTTGGCTCTGCCCCCAAACCGCCCTGGGGGAAGGTGTCACCTTCCCCTCGCAGGGCCGGGGATCTGGGCTGGAGGACGTGCCGCTCTCTCCAGGGCCAAGCAGAGCCTTGTGAAGGCTCCCCCTCCCCGAGGGAGACCTGATCCTGTCGCTAAGATTCAGGAGATTCAGGGAGTTTGAGGAAGGGTTCATCTCGCTCCCAAGAGGACCAGAGTCCCCAAGATCCAGCCTGTGTGGCTTCCAGCCGAAGAATGGCAAACATGGGGAGAGACGCTCTGCAGCTCCATCTCCTTTCCACCCCCTGAGCCCTGGGGGAGCTCAGAAGCAGCAAATGCCTCCTGGGTCACATGCAGGCTACCGGGAGGGATGTACGACTCGACCGGCTGCGGCAGGCGGCACGGCATCTTGCAGGGATGGGTGGCTGAGACCCTGCTGGCATTGCTGGCGAGCCGGCCATCGGGGGCTCCTGGTCCAGCGACCTTGAAGGGGCTGGGGGAGCGGAGGGCTCAGCTCCAAGTTGTTCTGTCGCTGTTCTGGTATGTGGTTTGGGGAGGCTCAAGGGAGGGTTCAATGGGTGCCAGTGCGAGGGACGCCACCAAGCTAGACCCTGGGATCTGTTCACCGCTGGCGCTGATGGGTCCCTGCTGGTGCAGGGGCCCCCAGGGCAGGTGGAGGTGGCCGTGGGCGGTGGGGTCTGCCCTGGCCAGGTGGGTTCGGAGCAGGGTCCAGTGCCTGCACCTCCTGCTCCCGCCCCTGTGCACTGCTCCTGGGCTGATCTGGCATCTTCCAGAGGAGCAGCTGGAGGCCCTCAGCCTCCTCTCGGGGCTGACCTCCTGCACAGGGGTCTTGCACCCTTGCAGCAGACATTCCCATTGGGAACCTGCCATGGGTATCCATTGGAGCCCCCTCCTTGGCTCGCCGGCTGGGCACCAGTTCTGCTGCAGAGCCAGGGTAAGGGGAGGCTGCACCGCGTGGCCATCACCGGTCCCGTGGCAGAGGGAGCTCTGCCATCCCTGCTGTGACTGGGCAGGTGTGGCGGTGCCACGCGGATCCCCAGCACCCCGGGGCTGGTGAACCGGGGGACCCTGGCCCTCTGTGCTGCCTGTGTTCCGCTGTGCTGCCTGTGTTCCGCTTCACCCTCAGCAGCTGCGGGCTGTTGGGGGAGGCTGGGAGCAGGGTGACAGCCTGGCCCCGCTGTCCCCCACCATGACTGCACCAGGGCTAGAGCCTGCCCCACTCCTGCAGCTGACTCCGAGCTGGCAGAGCCGCGGCCCTGGCGGCAGAGCCACAGTGCTGCTGAGAGCAGGGTCTCCCTGTGGTGAGTCCGCGGCAGGAGCGAGGCCTTGAAGGCTTCCCCGGGGCGCAGCAGTGTCAGTCCCTGGGCTGGCACTAGTGGTGGGCAGGCGGGCTCTGGTCTGCGCTGGGGTGACCTTGGGGAGTCACCCTGGCCGGCCTGCCCCGCGCTGGCTCCATCCCTCCCGGAGTCACTATCAAGACTTGAAACCCATTGGGGAAGAGCCACTGCCTGTGTTTCGATGCTGCAAGTGGCGTAGGAGAGTTCCCTGCCCAGCGGGGAGGAGCTGCAGGCAGAGCCACGGCATCGTCTGGCTCCACAAACGTGCACATAAACAGGATCGGCTCAACGCAGGGCTGAAAGCCCAGTCGTGAGGAGCCCACTCTGCTCGTGCGTGTTGAGGACATGTGTCCATCTATTCCACATTGGTCCTGCCTTAAAAAAATATATTATGTTTATCTAGTAATGATAATGGAGCATGAACCCAGCTGTGTTTGCCCTGCAAAACCCATTTTCCCATCTTAAGATAAAATCATTACCCATCTGCATATGTGACATCATTTCATAATCAGAGTAATTTAGAGATCCTGTCTCCTCATGGACATGGCGTGGTGATTATTCATGTAAAATTCAGGGGCAGACTTGCTCCAGGAACGAAAGTTGCTATTTACATAAATATTTAATTATTAGGAAGCAGCCTGGGTGGCTGGTTGAGATCGTGAGCTGCAAATCTGGTAAAAGAGACCTTGTAAATTGTGCACTGAAGTAGACAGTGTTGAGCAGAGCCACCTCCTTTTGGGTGGGGTGCTCAGTTGTCTTCTCTGTCTTTGCTGCTTCTGGTCTTTATTGATGGGAGGAAAAAACCCAGCTAGCATCGACTTTTTCATTATTTCTGTTGGTGTTTCTGCAACTGGGGTATTGCTCTTGGAGCGGGACTGGGAGCCGCGGAGCCACATCCAGCCCTCATTTCGCAGTGACCCGGGGCACGTTGCTGGTCTGGCTCCCATCCTTACACCCTGTATGCACCCAGGAGCCAGGCAGGGGCGTGCATGGAGCCAGGGGTGCTGCGAGGCCTCGGGAGCAGAGACTCACGTGGAACCAGGGCCGAGGAGGAGGCCGGTGGCATTCCCGGGGGAGCGGGTGCTTCCCGGGGGTGCAGGAGCCCAGGGAGCGGGTGCTCCAGCTCCGCGGTCGGTCCCTTCCCCTTCTCGCACAGTGAGAAACTTGCGTAAGCCCGGGAGGAGGATTCAGCCCAGGTGCCTTGCAGGATGCAGCAGTAATGCGGAGAGCTGCACGCAGCTGGTGATTCAGTGGTGGTGGTGGCGGTGCCTGCCTCCCCGTGACCACCACAGGGCTGCCTGATACGGCTAACCCCGCACCGGCATCCCCTCCCACCAGCCCGGCACTCGCAGCCTTCCACGAGGCGTGGGGCTGGGTCTGAACTGTGGGTTTTCACTGCTGGCGGATTTCTGTTGCAAGAGCCGGTCCCGCACCTGAACTGGGGGTGAAGCTGCATCCAGAGCATGTGTCCCTGGTGCTGCTTGGCCGGAGCCTTCCTCTTCCGGGCTTAAAATGGTTTCTGGGGCTTTGCTGCTGCCTGGATGGTGCCACTGACCTGCTGGTGCCACCGTCGGGGCTCCTGAGCAGAGGGACTGGGCTCGCTGGCTGCTTTTGCTCCCAATGTGCACGCCAGTGCTGCGTGCTGCTGCTGGTCCCGCTGTTATGTTCCCTCTGGTGGGGGTTTTGGGGAGCTGTTGTCCCCCTCTGCAGCGTCAGTGTGGGGCAGTCAGACCTGGGGGGTGCTGAAAGCCACCACTCGCTCATCAGGGAAGAAAGGCTGCGACCAACTCCCTGGGAGGATTGTGAAGGTTTGGGTCCTTGAGCAGTTTGCAAAGCCTTTATCCCCCCGCCCCAGGGACCCCTGGGGTAAAAGGCTTCTCCAGGGAAGAGCAGCACCAGTCATTGATCACAACTGGCTGTACTGGGACACAGGGGCACAGACGGCGCATTGGGCGCTGTACCTCACCACTCACTCGGCTCGGGCAAACTTCTGCCATTGGCTTCTTAACCCACTTCTAAGAGCGACCTCGTTTTTAGAATATGAGTATTTAGTGCAAGTTTGCGAAGTGCTGATCCCGCACCGATCCTGCGCTGCTCCTGCACTGATCCCGTGTTGCTCCTGCCTGCCGGGCAGCCTGGCTGTTTGCAGCCAGGGCCCCGGTCCGGGTCGAGGGGCTCAGCCCTCGGGGGTACCTCCCGCAGAGTGGGGTCTTGGGGAGTTTTGTCTGCCCGGGCAGGCTGGTGAGTGGGCAGCTCAGCGCCCGGTCGATGGGATCACTGTAGAGGGGAGTGATGTGTTGACGATGGAGCTGAGCGGGGATGTCCCTGGTGTCCTGTGGCCGTGCCCCCCCGGACGGCTCAGGGGCTTCTCCTGGCCCCCTCCCAGGCGGTAACAGCAGGTGGACGGGGAGGCTTTGCTGGTGCAGCCGTTGGGATTGCCCCATGCCTCTCCGGCCTTGGGGTCTCCATCAGGGTTTTGGAGGTACTGGGGAGGCGGCAGCTCTGCGGAGGGACGTGCTCTGGGGTCTCTGGAGCAGGAGCATGGTGGGACCCCTGGGAGCTGCTGTGGGGCAGTGCAGGGGCTAGGCTAGGCTCCCGACTCAGCTCCTGGCCAGGACCTGTGGGGCAGCACTACTGTGCCAGGCTTTGGGCAGGTGATGGAGTAGGAACGCAGCAGCCCCTGCTTGCAGAGGCTTTTGGCAGCTTCTGTCACCATCGCTGTCATTCAACTGGGTCAGGAGCAAGGGAGGGGGTGCCGAGGATCCTAATTAATTTGTTTTCAGATATTTTTAGTAGCCTGGATTGGATCTTTTTTTCTATGCACACACTGCCCTCTGAGGAAGAAAGCGTTGGCATTGCACCCAGGTCCCTGAAGAGACCTCACAGAGTCAGTCGTGTGTGTTGGGGGGGATCAGGAGCAGTTCATCTTTCTCAGCAGGCTGAATTCTGCCCTGGCTCAGCCAGATTGCAAAGGGATTTGAGCCAGAGGAGAGTTTTGCCCAGCTGGCGTGGTTATTTAATCTTTGCTCTTCACAGCTCTCCATGGCTAACGCCCCCATGGGACTGGCTTTGTGCAGCAGGGTCAGTTTGCAGTGCGAGCTGCTGGGGGGGTTTGCGGGACAGATCCAGCCTGGTACCGCTGCTGTCGGCTGCCCCGGCCCCAGC